AGACAGGTGAAGGAAACAAATTTAGTGAGAAGAGTGACACTGTTTAACATTTTCACAAATCTGTTAATACTGGCTAAAGAGAAGATAATCTGAATTTTCGGATGTGCTTCTGCATTCTACTCTGCAATCTGCTGCTGTTCCTCTAGTTCAAAGTATATGAAGAAAATTAAAACTCAACCTCGCATAGACATATAATTATAAAAAGGAATATTTTAATAGTTTTTTGTTTTTTATCCCCACCTGAGGACATCTTTCCATTTTTTGTTCAGACAGAGAGGGAGGGAGAGAGAGAAAAACATCGACGTGAAAGGGACACATCAAGTGGCTGCCTCTAGCAAGACCCAACCAGGGTCGGGGACAAACTGCAACCAAGGTACATGCCCCTAGGGGGAACCGAACCTGGGTCTCTTCGGACTGCAGGGACGCTCTAACCGCTGAGCCAAACCGGTCAGGGCTTTAATAGTGTTTTAAGATAATTGTGAATATTCTCCTCCGATACTACACCAAAATTCAACCAGTGGTAGTTTCTTAGAGATTAGTTGCAATGTGGAATCTGAAATCTTAATGAGCTTTTCATACTCCACTCCATTAAAATCCATAGGTCTATGGGGTAGGCAGTTTCTAAGACTGCCCTCAATTATCTCTATCTCCCAATATTCTTAACGTGTGTGTGAATATCCTGAGTATAGGCAGAATTGAATAGAATGTGGTAGTCACTAGGATTGGATGGCATGTCACTTCCAAGATTAGATTTAAAAAGATGGTAGGCATTCCACCTTGTGATGCTCTCTCTGACTCTCTCATTTGCTCTGTGGTAGAGACTCGATATTGCCAATCAAATAACAGCCACATGAATGGGCTCAAAAAGAAAGATCCTGCCCGGCTGGTGTGGCTCAGTGGTTGAGCATCAACCCATGCACCAAGAGATCATGGTTCAATTCCTGGTCAGGGCACATGCCCAAGTTGTGGGCCAAGTCCCCAGTTGGGGTCATGCAGGAGGCGGCCAATTGATGTTCTCTCTCATTGATGTTTTTATCTCTCTCTAAAATCAGTAAAGAAAAAACATTTTTAAAAAAAAGAGAGATTCTTTTCTATTCAAGCTATGAGATTATGAGATAACTGTAGCCCTGACTGATAGACCTTGATTGTACCTTTATGAAAGACCCTAACCAAAGGCGCCTGGCTAAGCCATACCTGGATTCCTAACCCAGAAAAGAGAAATAACAAATGTTTGTTGTTTCAGAATGCTATATTTTGGAGCAATTTGTTACACAGCAACAGATATCTAATCTCTCTATATACATATACAATCTACCTTATAATATGAATAGATCTTTACCTATGCAAAATTTTGTAATGTCATGCTTTGATCTTTTGAAAATATTTGTTCACTGAGTTATGCAAACATTTCAAATATTAACTATTTCATCAGACAATATTTTAAAAATCACCATCTGTTAATGTCACCAATAATCTCATCAGAAAGTCTCTAAGTAGTGAGGCGTTAAGCTTACAATCATGGATATAAAATTTCTAAAATTTCATTTCTGCCTGAAAGCTTTTTAAAATAATCACTGGTAACAAATGTACCAATTTTTTGCCTTGAAGCAAAAAAAGCTCCGTTCATATTTTTAAAAATGTCTGCCAAATGCCTAAATCTAAATAACCATAATTTGTCCAAAGGAAAAAAATAAATAAATGGGACTATATCAAACTAAAAAGATTTTACACAGCAAAGGAAACCATCAACAAAACAAAAAGACAAGCTACTGAATGGGAGAAGATATCTGCCAATAGTACATCTGATAAGGGGTTAATATCCAAAATTTATAAAGAACTCATGCAACTCAACACCAAAAACATAAACAATCCAATTAAAAAATGGGCAGAGGATCTGAATAGATATGTCTCCAAAGAGGACATACAGATGACCCATAGAAATATGAAAGGATGTTTAATGTCACTAATTGTCAGAGAAATGCAAATTGAAACCATAATAAGATATCACATCACACCTGGAAGAATGGTTATCATCAATAAATCCACAAACTGCAAGTGTGGGCAAGGATGTAGAGAAAAGGGAACCTTCATGCACTGTTGGTGGAAACGTAGACTAGTGCAACCACTACGAAAAACAGTATAGAGGCTCTTCAAGAAATTAAAAGTGTTGCCCTCGCTGGTGTGGCTTGGTTGGACATTGTTCCATACATCAAAAGGCTGCTAGCTCAATTCCTGGTCAGGGCACATGCCTGGGTTGCGGGCTCAATCCCCAGTGGGAGGGTATGCAGGAAGCAGCCAGCTGATGTTCTGCTCTCACATCAATGTTTCTCTTTCTCTCTTCCTCTCCCTTACTCTCTAAAAGTCAATAAAAACGTATTTTAAAAAAAGAATATATGCACTCCCATGTTCATGGCAGAGCTCTTTACAATAGTCAAGATATGAAAACAACCCAAGTACCCATCAGTAGACAAGTAAATAAAAATGCTGTGGCATGCATATATATATATATATATAAAAAAAACTTGGTCATAAAAAAAGAATGAAATCTTACCAGTTGAGACAGCATGGATGGGCCTATAGGGTATTATGCTAAGTGAAATAACTCAGAGAAAGACAAATACCATATGATTTTACTTATATATGAAAACTAAACAAAATAAATGAACAAACAAAATTAAAACAGACTCATAGACACAGAAAAGACTGATGGTTGCCAGAGGGGCAGGGGTTTGGGAAACTGGGTGAAAAAGTAAAGGGATTAAGAAGTACAACTTAGTTACAAAATAGTCACAGGGACATAAAATCCAACATGGAGTTTATAGTCAATAACATTATAATAACTGTGTATGTGGTACTGGTGGGTACTGGAAATACTGGGGGAAGCACTTTGTAAAGAATGTAATTATCTAAACACTAAGCTGTACACTTGAAACTAATACAAAATAATATTGAATGTAAAGTGTAATTGAAAAATAAAATTGCCCAGCCGGTGTGGCTCAGTGGTTGAGAGTCAACTCATGCACCAAGAGGTTGCCGGTTCAACTCCCAGTCAGGACACATGCCCAAGTTGTGGGCCAAATTCCCAGTGTGGGGCATGCAGGAGGTGGCCAATCAATGTTCTCTCTCATCAATGTTTCTATCTCTCTCTCCCTTTCTCTTCCTCTCTCTCTAAAATCAATAAAGAAATTAAATTAAAGGAAAATGACTAGTTTGTTAGCAATTTATCAAGTAAAAATAATGTCCCATGAAAAAAGCAGCTAGTTTAGCTCAAACAATTGGACAAGAACTTTTCCTTAAACCACAGTACTTCCATCTCTATTTCTGAATCTAAACAGTATATTCTTTTATTTCTTGCTATCGTAAACTCCAAAGCCTAAGTTAAAGATCAATCTTTAAAATTTTCAAATCAAAAGACTGGCTCAGTTGGTTGAGCATTATCTCATGCACCAAAAGGTCACTGGATGGATTCTTGGTCAGGGTACATGATTGCGTTGCTGGCTCGATCCCCAATGGGGTTTGTACAGGAGGCAACTGATCAATGTTTCTCTCTCTTGCCCTCTCCCTCCTTTCTCTCTAAAATCAATAAAAAACATATTTAAAAAACACACAAATAATTTATATAAAACTAACAAATAAAATACAAACAGACTAACAGATACAGAGAACAGTCTGACAACTGTCAGAGGGGAGGGGAGAGGGGGCTAGGTAAAAAAGGTGAAAGGATTAAGAGAAAAAAAAAACCAAAAAACAAAACAAAGACCTCACAGATAAACAACAGTATGATTACCAAAGGGAAAGGGGGTTGGGAGTAGTTAGGAGAGGGTAAAGAGGGAATAAATGGTGATGGAAGGAGACTTGACTTGGGGTGGTGAACACACGATACAATATATCGATGAAGTATTACACAACTGTACCCATGAAACCTATATATATATGTTTTTTTAAATCCTCACCCAAGGATATTTTTTCCCTTTATTTTCAGAGTGGGAGGGAAGAGGGAGGCGGGGGGAGAGAGAAAGAGAGAAAGAAACATCGATGTGAGAGAGACACTTTGACCGGTTGCCTCCTGTACACCAGCCAGGGCCAGGAACCAAACGACAACCAAGGAGGTATCTGTCCTTGACTGGAATCAAAACCGTCACTCTTTGGTCCGAGGGCTGACACTCCAACCACTGAGCCAAACTGGTCAGTGCAAAACTATATATTTTTATTAACCAATGTCACCCCAGTAAATTCAGTAAAATAAAAGGTATGGTTTATGTACTTTTCTTCATCCCTGTCTTACAAGTTATTTGTTCTCCTTTAATCTAGTTTACCTATAAAACTTTTCATAGCGCTATTTCTCTGCATTACTCTTCTCAATATAGACAATATACATTTCTATGCATTTGTCTGCCCAGCTAGATTACTTCATCTTCTACTTTTTAATATACCTGTTAATGCCTAAAATATTTGGCTCACAAAAGGTGTTTATGAAACTAAAACTAAATTTTCATTAAATCTGATTAAATATCCTATTTTCTACCATCTTCTCTGTGCATCTAGATTGATATCACTTTTTTTTTTTTTTTTTGCATGGATTAGGTATCGCTTTCTCCTTTGTTCAAAATAGAAATAGTGTGTCTAGAAATTAATAAAGAGTAAAAGTAAGGCATATCAAGATAGTAAAATTATGATAGGCAGGTAGGTATCCAGAATACAAAAATAACTAGAGTATCTAATGATAGATTGATTGGTTTCCATTACAAGGCAGCAGTTCTTTTTGCTAATTTTTCTCCCTTTGGCCTTCTGCAACAAATATCAACTTTTTAATCTGGTTCACTCCTTGGAATGATAAATTGTGCAATTTTCCTGTGGAGAGTACACTGTTATAAGATAAGAATTGACTCTATACTTGAAGTAACAATCTGAGCAAGGCTTTACATCTTTTGATAGCTCCATTAAAATCCCAGAGACAACAACAAAGTCAAATAAAGCTAAGGAAAAAAAGGGGAACTTACCACCAAACAAAGGTTCTGGTTCCACCAATATTTCCTGCTTTTGAGGAATTGGGGCACGAACTTCTTCTCTATTAAAAAACAAACAAATAGGAAAACATCAAAATGAAAGCTTTTTGCTACCTGTAACTATTGTGAATCCATTCAAATTAACAAGTAAAATGACCCTGTCCAGTTTGGCTCAGCGATAGAGCACTGGCCTGCAGACCAATGAGTCTCAGGTTCAAGATTCTGGCCAGGGGCACATATCTCGGTTGCGGTTCATCCCTGGCCCTGGTCGGGGTCATGTGGGAGGCAACCGATCGATGTGTCCCTCTCACGTCGATGTTCCTCTCTCTCCCCCTTTCTATCCTTCTCCCTCCCTCCCACTGTATCTGAAGATAGAGAAATATCCTTTGGTGAGGATTAAAATAAATAAACAAATTAATAAGTAAAATGAACACCAGTCTTAATGACTTTTAGGAACCACAGTGATGACTGTTAGATGGTTTCCATATGGAGATCAATTGTACATGGCACAGATACCTCAAATGATTTACAAAGAAAAAGAATAAACAAAAATAAAAATATTTCCCCTTTCCTCTCAAGTTCTTTACCTTAAATTATTTCCCAAACAAAGAGAAGGAATTAAAAAAGAAAAATCAGGCAAATTATTTATTGAAAAATATTGGCTTAATAAAAGCACTATTACTACCACATTAAATAAATAATTAAATTGCACAGATATAGTAAAATAAACAAACAAACTTACAGTGAATTTTATGCTAGTTATGGTCAACACATGAATTATTTATTAAATAAACCCTACTATATACAGAACAGAAAAAGTAATTACTCATCTTTTAAAAGCCTATAAACTCTTCAAAGTTCACCTCTAAAGGGTTTTCTAACAATCCACCTCTTTCAATTTAAAAAAATCATTTAGATATACTGTAAAAATGGTATATGTTCCTTTAAAAATCAGTTTATTTTAGTTTTAACTCAAATGTTAAATTCTGCTGATTAATGATCATAGCAAATAGTACTTCCAAATTTATTATCTTCCTGCTTATAATCAGATGTTTCTAATAGTAATAACTAAACTGAAGACCTGGTTGTTGTTTTTTTTTTATCCTCACCCGAGGATATTTTTCCATTTTTTGTTCAGGTAGAATGGGAGGGAGAGAGAGGAACAGAGAGAGAGAGAGAAACATCGATGTGAAAGGAACACATCGAGTGGCTGCCACCCGCACAACCGACCAGGGCCGGGGACAAACTGCAACTGAGGTACGTGCCCTTAGCGGGAACCGAACCCGGGTCTCTCAGGACCGCAGGCCGACGCTCTAACCGCTGAACCACACTGGCCAGGGCAAGACCTTGTTTTTGATAGGTAAGAATTGAAAATCTAAAACAGACTTTATGAAATAAAGTACGAACATTCATTTGTCAACAAGAACATCCTATAATCAAATAACTAGACAAAGAAATATACAATAAGCCAAATGACTGAATAAAGGATAATTCAGAATTACGTTAAAAACTCTTTCCTATTGGATATCAGTCACTGCTCACACAGAATTTCAATAATCTGAAGGAACAATGTGTCTGTAAGAGGAAGCTCTATTTTTTTTTTTAATCCTCACCCAAGGATATTTTTTTTTTCCTACTTATCTTCAGATAGAGTGGGAGGGAGAGGAAAGAGAGAGAAAAGGAAAGAGAGAAAAACATTGACGTGAGAGGGACATATCGACTGGTTGCCTCCCACATGACCCTGACCAGAGCCAGGGACCAAACCACAACAGATGTACATGCCCTTGACCAGGATGGAACTCGCAACTCTTTGGTCCCAGGTCCGACACTGCTTAACCAAACTGGCCAGGGTGAGGAAGCTCTATTAATCCTCTTTCATCAAAGAAAAATAGGTCATTATCTTAAGAAAACTAATAATTTAAAACATTATCTTTTACCTAAATAAATCTTTCCATTGTTAGCACATCTCACTTTTACATATATATAAAAGTATCTCAATCAGTAGTCCCTATACAGAAAGACTTAATTACTACATATTTGTGGGCATGTGCTTCAAGACTGTTAACTACCTAACAAGATGAAGGAATGGAACAGAAAAAGGTGAACTGTAAAGAGCAAAAAATTACAGTTTAGGAATTAGAAGCCACTATCAAATGTTAACCAATTAGCATTACAAATAATCTAAGTCAAATTATAATGTAATTCAGTAAGGAAAGACATTCATTTATCAAAACTATTTTCCTTTTTTTTTTAATCCTCACTCGAGGACATTTTTCCATTTTTTTTTATAGAGAGAGAGAGAGAGAAACATCAATGTGAAAGGGACACATCGAGTGGCTGCCTCCCACACGACCCAACCAGGGCTGGGGACAAACTGCAACCGAGGTACATGCCCCTAGCAGGAACCAAGCCCGGGTCTCTCCAGACCGCAGGCCAACACTCCAACCGCTGAGCCAAACTGGCTGAGGCTCAAAACTATTTTTAAACACAATTAAGAAAACATGTTTATATAGTGAGGACAAATATTTTCCCAAATCTGCTGTGAATAACTGTTATTCAAGTTTCTGTAAACTAAATCATGTTTATATATTGATGATTTACATGCTATGTTGAGAGAGAATGGGATATCACATCTGAAATATGGCCAACATTGAGAGGGAAAAAACTTTACAAAATACTAACAATGACTGCCCTTGCCGGTTTGGCTCAGCAGTTAGAGCGTTGGCCCACGGACCAGAGTCCTGGGTTCAGTCCCCTCTAAGGGCACGTACCTTGGTTGCAGTTTGTCCTTGGCCCCAGTTGGGGTCATGTGGGTGGCAAGCAGTCAATGTGTCTCTCTCACATAGATGTCTCTCTCTCTCTGTCTTCCTCCCTCCATCCGTCCTGCTCTATCTGAAGATAAATGCAGAAATGTCCTCAGGTGAGGATTAAAAAATAAATATATATATTTACAATGATCTACAAGTTCATGCTTCATGTAGAAAAAATATTACTCTAGCATCTAAAACTATATCAATAAAAGAGGTGAGAATGTCCTGAATGTTATTTGGCCTTTTAAATCTATGTCTAATTTAGTAAAAATAAAATCCATGTCTTCTGACTATCCATATTTAAGGGGATTCCTCTATTTTTTAATCTCACGTTATAAACATTGAGTTATAAAGGACTATGGGTATTAAAGTCTTATTTAAGAATCTTTTAAATTGTTTTAAAAAAAAATCAATGGCCCTGGTTGTTTGCTCAGTGGTTAGAGCACCAGCCTGCGGATCAGAGAGTCCCGGGTTCGATTCCGGCCAAGGGCATGTACCTCAGTTGCGGTTTGTCCCAGCCCCAGTTGGGGTCGTGCAGGTGGCAGCCAATCGAGGTGTCTCTCTCACATCAATGTTTCTGTCCCCCGCCCCCCCATCCTCCCACTGTGTCTGAAGATAAATGTAAAAATATCTTCAGGTGAGGATTAAAAAAACAGTCAATGGTTTTCCCTTGAGTAAAGTTTATTTATATTATTTTCCAAAGACTATTGGAATTTTGCCCAAAAGGTATTCATTTTCAAAGTCTCATTGGTATCAAATGTAAAAAGCAAAAAAGAATAAACCTGTTTACCATTTATTACTATTCTTTATAGAGTATGGGTCTATATATTAAAGGTGCTTCTAATAATTAACTACATGTAACTATTTAAGGTATAAAAGACTAGAATTATTTTTCAAAATATTTTCATGGCAGCTCAAAACTTTCCTAGGACAATGTAAGAAACTAAAATTGTGAAATCTGAACTTTATTGGGCTTTACTTCCATATCTGTTACTTAACTGCTGTGTAGCTTAGGAAAATGCCTAAGCCTCTGCTTCCTCAGCTGTAAAATCTGGATAATAATGCCATCCTACTGGGTTCTAAATAATAGACATGACAGTGGTTTAGAGAATTTAAAGTATATAAGTATAAAAATTTCTATTTGACAGTTTTTCAGATGCTTCCAACTTACAATTTTTTTCAAAAACAGATAATTAACTTGATAAAAATGCAATTACTCAATTTAGGCAGGTGGTTTGCTCCTAACAAGAAATAATAAATTCATACTCTGTGTGTGGTCTAACAGTGGAGACACTTGCTGAACTGGTACTGGGCTCTTCAGCGATTCCACCACCATCCAAAAACATTGTGACTGCCATCTCCAGATTATTGTTGCAGGCTTCAAGCATATGTTTCCCTACACTTTCACTTGCACCTGAAATAGCAGAAAGAGGTTAAAGGTTAAAAAAAAGGCACCTTATTCAGTTCTTAGAATACAGAATTCTCAAGCAAATTAATAGTACATTTTCCCTTAAAGAATGAATAACTCAAAAAAAACCCACACAAAAAACCTGTTTAAACTTCTACACTGTAGGCACCCTCTCCTGCTCAGGAGCTTGCCCGTGCCCCCCCACCCCCCACCACCACTTCTTCTTCACAGCTATACATTTCCCAAACTCCAAGAGTCCCTACAAGACTTGCAACCATGGAGCAGTAGCTTGTATCCACCGCCCCCTCTCTAATTCTCTGAACCTGTCTCCAAAGCCCTTTTCTCTAACTTTCCAGTGAGTCAAAGCAGCCCCACCTATGCTCATTTCTTTTCTACAACATTTATAGAGAGCCAAAGCAGCCCCGCCTAGGTTCTCTCCTGTTGCTTTTTCTATCCTAAGTCCTTCCTTGTTTCATTGTCCCAGCTTTAATAAACATTCTCTCATCTGGCTGATGTGGCTCAGTGGTTGAGCGTCGACCCATGCACCAAGAGGTCACTAGTTCGATTACTGGTCAGGACACATGCCCAGGTTGTGGGACCTATCCCCAGTGGGGGGCATGCAGGAGGTGGCCAATTGATGCTCTCTCTCATCAATGTTTCTATCTCTCTCCCTCTCACTTCCTCTCCCTAAAATCAATAAAGAGAAAAAAAAATTTTTAAAAACATTCTCTCAAAATAAAATAATAAACTTGTAGCCCTGGCGGGTTTGGCTCAGCGGTTAGAGCGTCGGCCCATAGACCGGAGAGTCCCAGGTTTGGTTCCCTCTAAGGGCACGCACCTCAGTTGCAGTCTGTCCCTGGTCCTGGTTGGGGTCCTGTGGGTGGCAACCAGTCAATGTGTCTCTCTCACATCGATGTTTCTCTCTCTTCCTCATGCTCTCCCTCCTACTCTATCTGAAGATAAATGCAAAAATGTCCTCTTGTGAGAATAAAAAATAATTTAAAAATTTCTACAGTTGTTAGTGTGACATATAGAGCTAGAAAGGAAAATAAAAGCATTAAAATAGCTTTCACAATAAAACAAAAACTAAATAAAGTATTTATCTGACATTTCTTTAAATGGACCAACCAGTGTGGCTCAGTGGTTGTGCATCAACCCATGCACCAAGAGATTGCCGGTTCAATTACCAATCAGGGCACACGCCCAGGTTGTGGGTCTGATCCCCAGTGGGGGCCATGCAGAAGGTGGCCAATCAATGTTCTCGCCTATCGATGTTTCCATCTGTCTCTACTTCTCCCTTCCTCTCTCTCTAAAATAAAAATAAATGAACCAACTATATATTTGTTAACAAACCGAAAAAGATAAAGAAAAACCAAAGACTATACTCTAGAAAGTTGGAAATTGTTAGAAAGAATGCATTTCCGTTAGTATTTCATTTTTAGTTTTTTGTTTTTCATCTTCACCCAAGGATATGTTTTTATTCATTTCAGAGGCGGGGGAGAGTGGGAGGGAGAGAGAGAGAGAAAAACATCAATTGATTGTCTCCCATACATGCCTTGACCTGGGATCAAACCCACAACCATTTGGTGCATGAGACGATGCTCTGGCCAACAGTATTTCATTTCTATTAAAAAATAAAGCATTTTTCATAACAGTGGGAGAGAAATGAGATAGAACATTTTTGTCAAAGATATAACTAAGTCAAAACCTAGTATGAAATGTCAATTGTCATCATTTAAAACTGGCCCTATCATACTTACTTATTTGTAAAGCCAGCAGTCTGTTAGATGCAATATAAATTAGTAAAGCCCTTTAGGAAAACAATTGTACAACATGTATCATGAAACATAAAAAATACTAGTTCCTTTTTTGACCCAGTAAGTTGGGCTTCTAGTTAAAAGACATATTAAGAATCTATCTGATTAAACATTCTGTGGTCATTAAAAAGTATCTCTCAGGCTTTCCTTTGGGATGACTTTCCTTCTACCTGAATGATGTCCTTTGTAGTTTACTTCAGTGAGGTCTGCTGGTTGTGTGTGAAGAGGAAGGAGAGGGTCTGAAAATGTCTTTATTTTGCTGTCATTGCTGAAAGACAGTTTTACTGAATATGTGTTCTACTTTCTTAAGGCTAACAGCTATTCTCTCTCAGTACACTAAAGACAGCATTCCAATGCCCTCTGGCTTCTGTTGTTGCTAATGGGAAATCAGTTGCTAAAGAAAAACATCTGTATAGCAATCTATTGTTTCTCTTCAGTTGCTTTTAAGATCTTCTCTGTCTTTGGTCTTCTGTGGTTTTACTCTAATTTGTCAGGGCTTATTTTATTTGTCCTCCTTGGGATTCCCTGGATTTCCACCATATATAAAAACTGTTATCTTTTATTGATTCTGAAAAATTCTCAGACATTTCTCCTTAACAATTACCTTACTCCTCCAGTCACACTTATTTCCTTCTGGAACCAATTAAATCTATGTTACAACTCTTCACTCTAGGCTATGCTAATATTTTTTACCTGCTCATTGAGATTTTAATGTCAGTTCATTTTTTATAATTAGAAGGTCTGTTTTTTAATTTTTTCCTAATCTGCTCATTCATGTTTTAGAGAGCCTTACTTCATACTCTTATGTCAATATTAATTAAGCTTACTGGAGTTACTAAGACAAAATATAAACTGTCTGCAGTCTCTAGGTGGTCACTATCTTGTTTCTACTAGCTCTTGCTTTACTGTGCCATGGTTTTTGTGGATTTTGGGCCTTTTTTTTTTTCACTGAGATTTCATGTGCCTTGAAATTTTAACCTGTAGATTTTTAAAGCTTGGGTTTAAGGTACACTCCTCCTAAGAGGATATGATTTGATAGATTTTGTAAGGCACCTGTGGGCACTACCAAACAAGGGCAACTTCAAAAACATTATTTTTTTTAAATATGTTTTTTTTTTGTTGTTTTGTTTTTATCCTCACCCGAGGACATTTTTCCATTTTTTGTTCAGATAGAGTGGGAGGGAGAGAGAGGAAGAGAGAGAGAGAGAAACATCGATGTGAAGGGACACATCGAGTGGCTGCCACCCGCACGACCAACCAGGGCCGGGGACAAACTGCAACTGAGGAACGTGCCCTTAGCGGAAACCGAACCCGGGTCTCTCTGTACCGCAGGCCGATACTCAACCGCTGAGCCAAACCGGCCAGGGCTTAAATATGTTTTTATTGGTTTAGAGAGAGAAGGAAGGAGAGGGAGAGAGAAACACTGATGAAGGAGAGAAACATCGATCGGCTGCCTCCTGCACACCCCCTACTGGGGATGGAGCCTGTAACCTGGGCACGTGCCCTGACGAGAAATCAAACCAGTGACTTCTTGGTGCATGGGACAACACTCAACCAACTGAGCCACACCAGCAGGCTCAAATATGTTCTTGACTTGGTTTTATAAAGACCACATGGAAAATGTGACCCTGTGTGTACCACTGTTATAAATTCTCAGTTTAGATATCCCTTGTCACTCTGCAACTACCAAGGTTGAAACAATAAAGTCTCAAAGGGGCAGAGGTCTTCTTTCAGACTCCTCTACTTAGGAAGGCCACAGGCTTTGTTTCCTATTTCCTGTGCCCTATCAAAAGAGGTCAATGCAGCCCTGGCCGGTTTGGCTCAGCGGTCAGAGCATCAGCCCGTGGACTGGAGAGACCCAGGTTCAGTTCCTGCTGAGGGCAGGTACTTCAGTTGCATTTGTCTCTGGCCCCGGTTGGGGTTGTTTGGGTGGCAACCAGTTGATGTGTCTCTCTCACATCAATGATTCTCTCTTCCTCCCTCTCTCCCTCCTGCTCTATCTGAAGATGAATGAAAAATGTCCTTGAGTGGGGGGGGGGGGGGGGGGAAGAGGTCAATGCCAATCAGTTTGAGCAGTTTCCACCAGGATGAAGTCTTGCTTTAAATCTAGCTAACATCTGCATTCCCAATTTCATTTCATTTTAGTTTCTGTGTACCTTACTTTCTTGCCAGGCCAATGACACATTCTGAAAGATCTTTTAAAGTACACATTTTTTTCTCAGCAGGAGGGTTATCCATATCTCTCTAGTTTAGCCCTACTGCAAGAAAGGAAAGTGCTGACTCTACTCTTAGTATCTGTCATGTGTTTTTCTCTACTATCTCTAAAGCTTTATTTCTTTTTCTTGTCTTTCTTTTTTCACTATCTTAAGGTTTTAAAGCAAGCCCTTAATACTTCTTATTTGGATTACCACAACAGGCTCCTAACTGATCATCATTCTCTCTTCTACCTGGCTGCTGAAGTTATGTTCCAAAATACAAGTATGACTGTATCACACCCCAATTTAAATTTTTTTTGGGGGGGGGGTTATTTTCAGATAGAGCAGAAGGGAGAGAAGGGGAAAGAGAGAGAGAGAAACACCAACGTGAAAGAGACACGACTGGCTGCCACACACAACCCCAACCGGGGCCAGGGACCAAGTGCAACCGAGGTATGCGCCCTTAGCGGAAACCGTACCTGGGACTCTCTGGTCCACGGGTGGACACTCTAACTGCTGAACCAAATTGGCCAGGGTCCAATTTAAATTCTTTAATGACTTTCTGACATCTACAAAGTCCTTTTAATCTGGAAAGTACTTTGTGATCAGGTCTCAGTTTATTTCTCTGGCTTTGCCTCACAATTCAGTATACTGAATAACATGCTTGCCATATCCATATCCTCCTCATCCCTCTCTCCTACTTCATCTGGTTCATGCACGCTCAAGAACCATCCTAAGTGTTACTGTATCAATTTGTGTGCTAATCATTCTCTACCCTACTTCCCCACTCCTATCCCTCTGACACCCTCTATAATAGAACATCCATGGATATACTACCAAGCAATAAATGTTGGTTGACTTTCTGGCGCCTCCGAAAGAAAAGCTTCTTGAGCACAGGGATTGGTTTTGTCTTGGTATCCCCAACATCTAGCACGTTTGCTTGCATGTGATCAATGTCGAATAAACTGACTTAGAGCTAGCTACTTCAAAGTAC